TATTATAGGTTTCTATTATACTATTGGGCAAAAACTTTTGATTTAGTTGTGAAATAGATTCCAGTATGCCGATTAGCGTTTTGTTGAAACTTCTCGATCTAGGACACACAATGATGGTGTGGAGATATCAAGTTTTTCTCATAATACACTTTTTTCAAAATATTAATTCAGATTGCATTCTTTATCTTATTTCTTGTCATCATTCAAAATATTCCAAAAACAATGGTCTGTTTACCTATTAAACCATTTTTGTTTTGGTCACGATAATCTATCTAATCTTATCATTTAGAAGAGTGTACCTTACCTATCGGATTTACATACTACATGATTTTATTAAAAATGAAACAAAGAACAAGGAAAATAACAACAACATGATGGATGCTAGATTAGAGACATAGCAAGACGTCAAATAAAATCGTGAGCACAATGAGCGATGCATAAGTCATGTCTGTGGATTAGAATTTTTGAAATTTATTAACATATCTAACTTGATATTGTACAAAGCCTATATCTTTTGATAGGTGTCTGTTTTATTAAACTATAATAGCTACACATTTTTTTCCTCTCATTTATCGACGACTCATTCTGTTCTATACACTATTTATTTGTTTTAAGATCACGGTTTACAAAATAATTACTTTGACACGTCATCAATGATGATGCATAGAATGACTCTCTATTTGGAAGATAAATATCAAACTAATATGATTGACGATTGCGATTTATTTCTGCAGATTACAATATAACAAAATAAATAAAGCAATCGATGTAACTGATTATTTATTTTCTTATATACAATTAAATAGGCAGAGAGCTCTTCATCTTTTTATAAACTGATACCACCACATAACTAGAACAATCTGGACGATAGGACTTTTGAAAGTGTAGATAAGTGTTTATATTCATATTTAAACAGCTAACTACATTACGATATGTATATTTACTGTAGTGTTCTTTATCCATACATCTACATACCGGCTAAATCAACACTTTGTCTCGTTATAAGTAAATATGTAAATAAATATACGATGACTTAAGATAATAAAGAAAAATGGAAGTGAACAAACACACTTTGGTCCAATTAAGATAATTTAATTTTGATCAAAGTGCCCAGCAGGGGTGGGGTGAGATTATATGAATGTTTGCATATCAAGTGATGATTGTTGGGTCTCTGACACCGTTGATGAAATCAAAATATGAAAGTAATGATAAAAGTTTGAATATATGTTCATATTTTTTTGTATCTCATGCTTACAAAATACATTGGTAATATTCGGTCCACATTTTGGTATAGCCAACATATATAAACCGATTTCAACTAAACTTAATCTAGAGATCTAGCGTACAAAGTGTGATGCAGCAAGAGTCTCCTGATTGTACATGTGTAAACTTCAAGGTAAAATTTTTGTTTTAATTCAACAGCAGAGGTTTTGGTATCATCTCTAACAGTTCTTAAAACTCTTTTTTCATCAAATCGACAGATATTTCTTTTTTGTCGACGCGTTTCTGGTTTGGAAGTCCATTTTATGGCGTTACGCTATTTTAGACTAAATTCAATACCCTCTGCCTACTTTCGTATTAATCGAATAAACATAGGCTCTTCAGTGCATCATTCGCATAAAATCGCTGGGAAATATATAGGGGAGACTGGGGGCCGTTCGGCACTTTTTTAGAGCTCTTTATCTTATTCAACGACAAAAAACTTTATGGCCTTTGATACTTTATTGTCCTCTGATACTTAATTATAAAAAAACTAGAACCAAAGAAATATGATAAATTAGTATTAGTTAAAAATTTTACAGATTTGTAAAAAAGTCAAATTCGCCGAATAAGCTTCGGCATTTGATGGGTCACATTCGATACCATAGTGATAGCCATCAGTCTGGTTGAAATTCAAATCCTCTAAATTTCCATTTTGTTTTAATATGCTACTCAATGTTTGACTTATAAGGCTATATTTTCTAGCGGCGGGCGTTGACGTCTCAGGGCCACACACACAATCAAAAACCAGTAAGGACAGTTCAAAAGTCGGACGGGGCCGACTATATGATATCCAAAGTGGGGTACGTGCAAGACATGTTAATATCTACAATATCCTTTAGATAGAACGGTCATAGAATCTTTGGAGGACCATCGAGATGAAATCGGCCAAAATTAATGCGCTATCTAGATAAATATTTGAACCAATTGAAAACCCCCATACACATACCATTCTGAAATCAATGAAAAATTGCATGTCAAACGGACAGACTTGGATTCTTTGGTGTATGAAATTATGCATGGGAGCTATATATAAACACATGGACCTAATTGAGTAACCGTTGCATACACTATTTGTTCTTTTGTAATCACTATATTCAATTTAATATCCTCTGCCAAATTTCGTGTAACCACCTTTTACATATATATATATATATATTTTACATATATATATATATATTCGAACGAAAATTTATGTAAAACCTAGGAGCTATATCTAGATCTGAACCGAATTAAAAAGACTTCGCAGACATCAGTCTGAATCTAATGCAATACTCTGTGCAAAATTTTGTCCCAATCGGACAAATATTAGGAGTTTGGTGTAGAAAAAATCGGACGAAACTATATATGGTAGCTATGTCCAAATCTGAACCGATTTTAACAAATCTTCGCAGACATCAGTCTGCACCGAATTAAGTACTTTGTGCGGAATTTTGTCCCAATTGGACAAATATTGGGAGTTTGGTGCATCATTCACATAAAATCGGACGAAACTATATATGGGAGATATATCTAAATCTGAACCGATTTTAAAAAAAAAACTTCGCAGACATCAATCTGAATATGATTCAGTACTCTATGCAAAATTTAGTCTCAATTGGACAAATATTGGGAGTTTGGTGCATCATTTACATAAAAGAAACTATATATGGGAGCAATTTCAATAGGGTTCGTCCTTGGGCCAAATAAGTGAACTGTGCCAAATTTCATCCAAATCGGACCATAAGTGCGACCTGTACATTGTTAACAAAAATACATGGGCGGACGGACGGACAGACGGACATGCGTAAATCGACTCGGAAAGTGATTCTATGCATATTCTTAAAAGGAACCATGGGTCTATCTCGATTCCTTTTGCCTGTTACAAACATATGCACAAAGACATAATACCCTGTACCACTGTGTGGTGAAGGGTATAATAACTTTTTTCTATCACATTATCATCAATACAAGCACGTTTGGTTTCATATATGTAAATTCGAACCATATCAAAGGATTATTTTTAAAGACAAACTCAAAAACATTTTAAGGAAATAATATAGCACTCTCTGTAAATGACAGATACACAATTCAAAAATACAAGTCGTCATTATTCTTAAGTATAACCATGAAACTATAATCAGGAATTTTATATATATGCCGAATTTAGTTAAAAAAATTAGTTTTTTGTATAACTAATAAAAGTCTGTCTAATGAGCTCTAGCCGAGGTTTGCATTGCTTTTCGATATCACTTCTAATAAAACACATACGATTGTCGTCTGGAGCTTATTTAATTTTGAAATGAAAACAAAACAAAAAATAAAGTAAAAAGAAAAAAACAATACATATTTAAATTATACAACTGCGGCTGCGGTGATATCGTATTGCAATTGAAATTAATTGCCAATATTTTGGTTTGAAATTACAGTTATTGTTTTTGTTATTATTATTATATGATATACATATTTTGTTGTTTTTGTTATATTTATATAAAGTTTCCTTATTTGGCACTTGGCAACCAGTAGTGATTTTTTTTTCGGTTTCTTTTTGTGACTATTACTGAATACTGTTGTTTTTTTACGCGATTAAACTTCATTATGCATGCATCATCAACAAATAATCGCCATTAAAACAAAACAAATGGTTATGTGAGTGTGTGTGCAATAATCAACCGCCCTTTTCAAGAGGAAGAGGAGGAGGAAGTCGAATAATGATTCACATTTGCTTAAATGCAATTTGTTTTACAGAATATAAACAAAGATAAATTTTGAAATCGCAAAACAACACAACTCTCCCCTTGTTTGGTTTTGTTAAAATTTTATTTTTTTAATGGACTTCTTTGTTTTTCGGAATTATCTGAATATGTTTATTTTTTTTAATAATTGTTTTTAATTTATTTTGGGATTTTTTAGTGTAATCTTCACACGATTCCAAAACAATGTTTCCTTTTCCAGTATTACTTTTTTCATTTCAATAATTTTTCGCTTATCAATTTTGAATGACAAATTATTTTTAATTTGTATAAGTTATTGCATTTTATAATTTTTATTCTCAATGTTTATTTGGAAATTATCAGTTTTAATATATAGACTATTGCAATGACCTAAGTGGCGGCGTCTAAAAGAAAAAGGGCAGCCGAGTTGTTTATTTTCAATATTACTTAGAAATATGTGAATCAATACAGCATGATTTGAAAAGTATGAATCAATAATATAATCCGTTTCGCAATTATAACAATCATTGAGCGAATAACAATTGGGTTGTTAAAAATTTCTCTGCAAAATTTGGCTCTGCTTCTAATTTAAAAATGCTGCGTTATGAGTCCATGGTGAGGATAAGGGGGTTATGTGAGGTTAAGTTAAAAAGGGGTATCACATGATGTGGTCAATTACTGCATGACGGAATGATATCCTCCATGCCATCAATTCGCCCCCAATTGGTGCAAAACGCCATCTAGATCTCAAATGTGTCAAAACCACTCCGAGACAAACTCGGTCCTGCTGCTTTTTTGCTATCGCTAGCGGGTGTTATCCGAGAATTGTATTTTCGAACTATTTCTTTAACTGTACCAGTGTGAATAAAATTCAATCCTTTATAATTCTATTAGTATACCTCTTTAGATCACGAAGATTCTTTCTGATATGGCTGTCTTTTACTCGAAATTGACCCATTCTTTGTTCTATTTTCTCTCTGTTAAATTTCATAATAAAATATTTTTCATTTTCCATTAATAATCAATTTTTTTCTTTTTATTTTCTAGCGGCTCAAATGAGCGTCAATTTGAGCAAAGCTGAAGTACCTTCTACAACAATTTTACCTGAGAAGCATACAACAAAAAGCACCACAAGCACTACAACAACTACCACCACCACAACAACAACTACAGAAGCACCCACAACTACTCCGGCCCCAACAACAACTACAACAACAGCCGCTCCCACAACCACTACAAGTGCACCCGATACAACAACACCAGCACCAGTTCCGACCACCACAGTTAAACCAGTACCACCCAAACCCTATCCCGAACCCGAGGTGGCAACATGGAATGCATCATGCATTATGGTTAAAATGGCAGTACAATTGAATTTCACTTATGAAACCAAAGGTAAGTAAGATTATATTTTTTCTCAATTGATTCTATCTGAAAATTTTTTTTCCAGATAATAAAATGGTTTATGGCTTATATAACATTCCCAAGGATGCCGCTGTTGATCATGTTGACTGTGATAAGAATACCACACAATCTATGCAAATTAATTGGGGACCCGCCACTGCTCAACACATTATGGTAATGAATTTCGAACGTGCTAATGGCTCGACCAACATGACCATGATGATGTTTACATTGCCATTGTTGAATACCACTTTCCCAGATGCTAAAGGTAAGATGATTTTTTGGCGAGATGGAGAAGAAGAAAATATAAAAATTTTGAAGAGGATTTTGCAATCTTCAGCGATATATGACATAATAATTTCCGTCGATATATACTTATAGAGACTCACATAGAGTATACATTTTTGAAACCTTTAAGGTGCTAGTCTGTCAAAGCGATACTGAATTGTTAACACTGAAATAGTCTGCCAAAGATTTCCACAAATCCGTCCGATTCTGTAAATTAATGAAGAAACAATGGTAATAACGTGAGATCTTTCTAGTTGATTAACTTCAAGACTTTAGACTTTGAGGTCTCCGCGATGTTGAAGTATAGTTACTTGTTCTGTTTTAGTCAATTTGAGATTTTTTATTTTATATTTTCCCAATAGAGGAGAAAGGAACCAAACTGAATTCAACGGCTTCACTCTGTATTCATTAAGAGCTGCGGCAACTGCATCAGTATAACTGCTATTTAGACCTACTCGATATGCGAATTGAATAGAGGCTCCTTTTATGTCGCTGAACTCTCTCTTTAGGGCAAAAGCATATCCTTCCTGACACGCCTGGCTATGCTGACTTCGTAACCTCATGAAGATGGTCCACTGGTGTCATAAGCAGTTTTCAGATCGTCGTTCTTACAGGTCTGAATACATCTCCATTGCGTAGCACTAGTATTCGCACACCACACTGGTACCACATAGCTAGCCTATTGTTTTTTATGAGGTACAAATTTTCCTTATCTGCGCCCTAAGTACTGCCAGTAAGCGTCTTGAGGACCTTATCGCAAATAGCTGTGATTTGCGAGGATGTTTTGAAAATGCTGCCAAATGTGACCGATAATTGTATGCCCCTCGACCTGTACATCTAGTGACATTCTCATCTTCATAGTCCATGTGGTGAACAATGTGACCGAAGATTTCGTGGTGAATACTTGCATATTCCTCACGTGGAAGGAGGCTGCTAAATCGGTGAGCTAGGCGTTCAACTTAAAACATATTTCCTCAATGATAGGACCCGACCTCATAATCGTACAATCATCTGCATACGTAACGATCTCAATGTTGTTGGTTGACGTGGAATACCGGATTGGTAGAGATTAAACAGTTCCGGAGATATCATTCCACCATGAAAAACTCTCTGCTTCACTCTACAGGATTTTAACTTCTTATTCCGGAACTTTGGTAAAGTAGTCCACTCCAGTCTCGTCCAGCTGCTTTAGCATGGCCATGGAAATTCCGTCAAGGTCAAACGTTTTAGAGGACTTAACGGATGACAACTGCAAAATCACCCATTATAACTGTGGTGGTACTTCTTCGGCGGGTAGAGATCTTATATACGAGGTACTCTTCGCTTTGCGCTGACGATCGCGGATCCGCTCAGCAACCTGCCGGTTAAATAGCTTACACCTAGTGTATTCGACAAGCAGTTATAAATCTAGCGGCTTGAAGCTGCAATTATGTCCCGGAATTTCCTTTCTGCTACCCGTACATCAGAAGGAATTGCAAGTTCTCTGAAGCGCTGGTTGGTGAACTCTCTGAATCCTTGTCTATTGACCGTCCTATGGTTAAGGAAAGTGCGTTCTCAGATGTGATGAAATCGGGGGTCTACTAATGGAGACGATTATGGGGAGGTGGTCTGAGCCAAGAGAAAATGACGGGCTGTCAGTTGACGTCATTTATCAGACCCGGTGACACAATGGTTATGTCTGGTGGGGTCATCCTTATTTACCTGCAGAACGTAGAGCTATAAATTTGCTCTGCCCACACTTTCACCCTCGTGTCATTACCTAGGACGGAATGCCACAACTCATGGTGAGAATTGAAATCTCCTAGTACCAGACGATTATTGCCCTCCAATGGAAATCTAATGTTGGGCAAATAGCGCGGTTCAAAGCTATTACTCGGCGGTATTATCACGATAAGCACATCTCCCTCGACAGCACCACATTTAACTCCTATCCCCACACATTCCATGTTTGGGCCACTAGGCCAATATTGAATGGTAGGCCCCTACATCCACATCTGGTGGCAACCTTCCTCAGAACATTGTAATCAATACAAATGTTTAGGCTACAATTTTCATTGAGATTGGTTACCTGTACCACCGCGACCAAGATATTCTTCCGATTCGTGAAATTGTTTTGAGATTCGAGCCTTATTCATTGTCAATTTTTAAACACTAGGTAGACCAATGGTTGTTTTTGCAATTCGGTTTAAACCAGTACTTTTTACCTTTCTGTGAAGGCGGTTTAGACACGGTTTTATCATTCAAGGCTCTGTTAGACGATTCCAATGACTTTGAAGCCTTCCCATGAAAACAACAAAACCAATATCAGCCCAATAAGGAATTGTTTTTGTATTTTGAATTTGAAGTTAGTTTTTTGCAGCATCTGATGACATAGATTTTATAGAGGTTTTGATGTCGTATAGCCTCCTTACCATTGCAAGGATTTCAACAATTAATCCTAATTTTTTCTCTGCAGATATACAATTGACCGATCAGTGTAGTATGGCCATCTTTAGCTATTTTTATTATTTATTTTATACAAATTTTATTTCATTCTTTTTTCCTTTACAGAAAACCAAACTATTCAGCTAATTCATCGTTCCAACGAATTCAATGCACCATTGAAAATGTCCTATCACTGCACCCGTCCACAATATTTCAATTTGACTGAAACAATTGATTCGCAAGTGATTGGCGTTGCCAAAGTACGTGATGTTCAGGTAGAAGCTTTCCGTGCAGCTGGTGCTACTGGTTTCTCGACCGCTCGTGATTGTGATAGTTCTGAAACATCAGATGTTGCACCAATTGCTGTTGGCATTGCCCTGGGTGCATTGATTTTGATTGTATTGATCTCATATTTGTGTGCTCGTCGTCGTTCTACCTCTCGTGGTTATATGAGCTTCTAAGCAGCAGCAGCGACGGCGTCTGGAGAATGCTGGAGTAGAATATAACAACTTTTATTTCAATTGAAAGATTTTTTCTATCTACTTTTTATTATTATCATCTATCATTTCTCATCAAAACGAAATCGAAAAAATCAGAAAACTTTTGGTTTGGAAATTCTCATATCGTTTAAATGTTGAAAAATGTAATTGAAACCCTGCATTATTTTCCTCTTTTGTTTGTTTTATTTTACAAAATTATTTTTGTTAGTTTTGTTTAATTTCCATTGGATATCAAAATTCATTCCTTTTTATTTGCTTTTTTATTTTTATATATTTAGCAAAAGAAAATATCTGTTAATATTTAAAGAAACACTCATTTAAGTAGCACCTCTCCTTCTCCTTTCTTATTTTAGTTTATTATTATTACTTTTATCCCAATTAGTATTTTTGTCTCTATCATATATTAATATTTTCTTTTATTTTATCCAATCTACACAACTCATATTAATCATTATTTTATTTTTTTGTAGTATTAAATTTCGTTTTATAATTAAAACGCCAATGTGTAAATTTATTTCATTATTTCTTTGTCTTTTTTTTCTAAAAAAATATTTCTTATATCTTCCTGGATATTCTTCGTTATGCCAAAATCTTTATATCGGCTACCGAAAATAGTTAATTATATCATTTTTTTTTAAATTATATTGCCTATAACAAATACAACAATACATAAAAAAACATACATATATAATTTAAAAAAAATATTAATCATATTATCGTGTAAAGCAAAGATATCAATATTTTAAATTGGCCTTAATTTAAAACGAATAAAAACAAAGCAAAAAACCCCAATCATGTATCTTTAAAGAAAGAAAATCGTAATTATTATAAATAAAGTCCTAAACTGGAAAAACATAAACCAAAATGTTTTTTTATTTTTGTAAAAAAATTAACAATGAAAAAAATAATATGAAACTAACCAGAAGTATTAAGGAAGAAGGTGGGAATAGTTTCGATGGCTAAAAAAACAAACCTTTTGGATTCCAGTGTCAATGGGTTCGTAGGCGAAGCTTATCATGCTCGTTGATCCCGCTTTCTCTGCTGGGAAGTTAGGTCTTAATTCGGGTATTCTGAAGCGACAATAGATGAAATTCCTGAACTCTTATAGCCCCTACATAATAGTTCTCCTGATTTTCGGTATTTTATACATGTTTTTCAACCGAAAGGTATCCTTCATATAACGGTAGTCCCAATTTTTGGAATGAGTCAAAAGTGAGAATCAGAAAATGCACAGAGAATTGACGTTCAGAATGTGGTTGATAGCAACTCATACTTAACAACCTTTGTGTATACATTCCCGTCATTAACTCTTAAAAAAATATGCATCATAAGAAAATATGTTGCATACTTTTAGGCGACGAAATCAATTTCATTGTATGTGCTCAACAGCATTCTTCCCTGAAACATTCTACCAAGGAAAACAATATTTATCACTATTGACAGAAAAAGAGTGCCCTAACACTTCTGTGTAATACCAGGAAAAAACCAAGTGGCTAAACGTGACTCGAATACCTTTTGTTTGCAAATATTCACGTAACGTACTCGTAATCGTATAAATTTAAATATCTTAGCATGATATTGGAACATTGTACAGTGTTGAAAGGACGAACATACATACCTGGATAACATAATCAATGTAAAGGAATGAATACTGTCGGAACACTTCGACTGGTTTAATGCAAGAGATAAATTGATTTGGAATGTGTGCAGACATCATGCTATTTAGAAAATTCAATCAAAAACCTATTGTTGTATATTTTTGTGGAATGAAATGGCTTTGGGAATATTCATTAGGTGACATATAAGAGATATAATGTAAGGGATTCAATAGGTAAATCGGGACAGATGATGTAGTTTTGGAAATATTCATTAGACGAAATATTAGAGATAAACAACTTATTCTAGATCCCAAGGGATTACAAAAAAAAAAAAAATTGTTTTTGGATGATGGCAAAAACCACATTTGACGGTTTTTTTTTAATTACTATATATACTATACTTCGTCCTTCCTCAAATCATGCAGACGATAAATTGAAAAATATGTATCTATCATTATTAATGTAATTCTATAATTTTTATACCCTTCACCACACTGTGGTACCGGGTATTATGTCTTTGTGCATATGCTTGTAACAGACAAAAAGAAAAGAGATAGACCCATGGTTCCTTTTGAGAATATGCATAGAATCACTTTCTGAGTTGATTTGTGCATTTTCGTCCGTACGTCTGTCCGTCTGTTGATGTTAAATTGTAAACCGGTCGCATTTATCATTCGACTTGGATGAAATTTGGCGAAAATCTTGCACTAATTATGTTAAAGAAACGGCTGGACCAATTTGATTTAAAATTTCTGTTATTTGTCTGTAATTGAAGTGGAAATGTTTTAATGAAAGAGCATTTTGAGAAAAATCCGCGAAAATGTTACAAAATATATTTTGAAAGATATTAGCATTTTCACACGTTTTATATCGAACCTTTTTGATTTCCATACATTTTATATCGAACCTTTATGATTTCATCTCTTCATAGTTCTTCTTGGACATTAGCATTTTCACACGTTTTATATCGAACCTTTTTGATTTCCATACATTTTATATCGAACCTTTATGATTTCATCTCTTCATAGTTCTTCTTAGACATATTTTGCCTCAATACGAATTTGACAAAATTCCAATATATACGTCAAAAGCCAGCATACTAAAGATGTAAATTGAATTATGTGTGATGGTGTATGTTTGTGGACATGTTTAGATCTTATTTCTGCAAGAATCACAACCCAAAAATGTTTATCACAAAAAAGTATTTTGCTTTTTATTATTTTATTAGAAACAAGTGAAAAAGCGTTAAGATCGACCGGGCCGAACTTTGGATACCCTCCACCATAGATATACTGACAGGTACTTGGAATTAAAATATAGGGAAAATACCAAAAAGTGGACTCATACCGACATTTCTAGAAATCGAGTATGTAAACCATGATACAAATTTCAGAAATTTTTAATGGATAATTATACCCTCAGCCTTTGGCTAATGAGGGTGTATACACTTTGACACGGTGAAAATGAGCCTCATCAAAATATTGGTTCTAGGCCCCATGTTTCATTGGACCAAATTTGTTTTCATCCAAACTTTACCCATCTTATTATTTTTTCCAAACATAGTTCAAGTTCGAAGATGGGGAATATCGGTCCACTCCATCTGGTACCTCCCACAGAGGGGCTATGCCTAAATGCGGGTTATAGTTCATATATAGTTCATTGTCGAACCTTACGTTCTATCCTCCGCAGGTGAAATGATTACAACAGAGTCTTAGAACCAAACCCAAAACACAGAACAAATCAGATAACTATTTTAATATAAACCAGTAAGGAAAGTTAAAAAGTCGGACGGGGCCGACTATATGATACCCTTCACCACTATGAGCTCATGCAAGACATTAATATCTACAATATCCTGTAGATATAGAAATTTCGCATACATCAGTCGGGACCTAATTCAGTACTCTGTGCAAAATTTTGCTTCAATCGGACCAATATTGGGAGTTTGGTGCACAATTTACTTTAAATCGGACGAAACTATATATGGGAGCTATATCTAAATCTGAACCGATTTCAACAAAACTTCGCATTCATCAATGACCTAATTTAGAACGCTGTGCAAAATTTTGTCTCAATCGGATAAATATTGACAGTATGGTGCTCCATTCACATAAAATCGGACGAAACTATATATGTATATAAATCTGAACCGATTCCAACAAAATTTCGCATTCATCACTCGGAACCTAATCTAGTATGCTGTGCAAAATTTTGCTTCAATCGTACCAATATTGGAAGTTTGGTGCACTATTTACATTAAATCAGACGAAACTATACATCGGAGCTATATCTTAATCTGAACCGATTTCAACAAACCTTAGTATATAACTATCTAGACCTAATTCAATCGGACCACAATGCATCAATAAGTTAGAATCGGACGAAAATATATATGGGAGCTATATCTAAATCTGAACCGATTTTCTCCAATTTCAATAGGGTTCGTCCTTGGGCGAATTAAGTCTCCAAATTTCATCCAAATCGGATCATAAATGCGACTTGTATTTTGTTAACAAAAATACATGGACGGACGGACGGACTGACGGATGGACAGACGGACAAGCATAAATCGACTCAGAAAGTGATTCTATTCTCAAAAGGGACCATGGGTCTATCTCGATTATTTTTGCCTGTTACAAACATATGAACAAAGACATAATACCCTGTACTACAGTGTGGTGAAGGGTATAAAAAGGGGGTTATATTGGGATTACGTCAAAAAGTGGGCGAATATTCATATTTTTTTGTGGAGAGATTTGGTACCTATTAAGAACTCAAAATACTAAATTACAGCTTATTCGGCGGAAAAATACAACCAAAACCCCCAAAATACTGAAAATTAGGAGGTACCGTTATATGGGGGCTTCCAGAAAAAGTGGGCCTATACTTATAATTTTATTGTGGAGACATTTAGTGCCCAATAAGAACCCAATTTACCATAATTCAGCGAGTTCGGATGAAAAACTCGCTCAAGAACCCCAAAATACCGAAAATTGGGGGTACCCTTATATGGGGACTATCCGAAAAAATGGACCTATATTCATAATTCTTTGTGGAGAGATTTGGTACCTATTAAAAACTCAAAATACTAAATTACAGCCAATTCGGTGGAAAAATACGACCAAAACCCCCAAAATACTGAAAATTAGGAGGTACCGTTATATGGGGGCTACCAGAAAAAGTGGACCTATACTTATAATTTTTTGTGGAGACATTTAGTACCCAATAAGAACGAAATGTACAAAATTTCAGCGAATTCGCTGAAAAACGCGCTTAAGAACCCCAAAATACCGAAAATTGGGAGGTACCCTTATATGGGAGTCATGCCTAAACGTGGACCGATATATTACTTCGAACTTGACCTGCCTGCAGA